TCAATTTTCACAAATCCAGTATTTGTTTCAGCAAGAATACTCGCGAGGTGGTTAGGGAGGATGTGGCACTGATGAAACTGGTAACTCCATGATTCAGATAGAGAATAGCCGCAGAAAATTCTTGAAGCAAGGATTGCCGTCGAAAATCTTCCCGCTATTTAATCGGATCACCAGAGGACTTCATCTGCGGAATACTGATTCGCTGAGCTCTGCGCCTTTCTTCTCGTAAGTAATTTTGACTTTCTGAAATCTATTAAATAATAATAATAATAATAATAATAAAGTTATTAGAGACCATATATAACTAATCTACATTTATTAAACTCCTACTGAACATGTACTACTAAAAATTATAATTATAATTATTATTAAATCAGGATCAACTAATTATTGGACTAATAGAATTCAAATAATAAAATAAATTCAATAAAAACAACCTAAAAATGAATAATATTAACAAAGTTATCTAATCAAAATAATAAATAAAACTATATATAAATTAATCAATTATTGTAAATTAACTATAAAAATATCATTAAAAATAACACTAAAAATAATGTTTATCAAATTTTCCCACACTTATTTATTTGCTTGTCCTCAAGCAAAGACATTATTAAAAAGAAAAGAAATTAAAATAAAATCAAGCATAAGATCGAGCTTTACCCAAATAGACTTTCAAATTTATTTGCCACCAATGCAAAGTTAGTGCCAACTCAAAGAATGTATAAAACATTTGACTAGAAATTAAAAATTTTAACAACTAAAATAAATATAAAACGTGTGCTCGTGTGCTGACACCCCTTATATGAACTATACAAAATCTCAATAAACAAATATGAAAATTTCACCAAATTCAACCTAAACCAAATTCAGAAATATTCTATCACTGTGCAGGTGCAAAACATGAAGGAAATAAGGATCAAGGCATTTATTAAAATTGAAAAGCAATTGCTCGTCTTTTCCAAAATTCACTCATTATTTTTCTATTTTGACTTTTTCAAAAGAGAACTTCCCCAAAAACCTCGCCATTTTACGCCAGACTTGTTTGGGTTTTCATTTTTGTGTGTACTCATAAACCAGACCACGACACTTATTTATTTATGGTACATGTGTATAGGTGGCTGATTCAGCGGAGTAGAATCTCTTACTTTATTGCAAACAAAATAAATAAAACACTCATTTTTATTTTTCATTAATATTTTTTAAATCTTTTTTTTTTTTACCTCACTTATGCCATAAAGATGATCCTTGAACCAACACACTACACCACAATTTATAGCACTCAAGAATTGTTTAAGAATTTGATAAAGGTAATATAAGGTGAAAGACACATATAAATTACTAAAGAAATTGTATAGAACACAAAGGTATTTGTGATTTTCAAATTCTATTTATTTTTTTTTTTTTTTTTTTTTTGTTTTTTTTTTTGATTTGACAAAGATATAAAATTAAAGAAATTACCAACTAGTCAAAAGCAATATACACACTAAGAGCTGACAAAAACCTGCATTGTTTTTATCAACGAATATTTAAAAGACTTATAAAGATAAAGCTCAACTAATGCTAGAATTTTAAAATAAAAAGGTTTAAGAAAATGTACATAAGAAAATTAAAAAGTTTGAAATTTTTGATTTTTTTATGATTTGTGGGTAAAATCACTTCCCCACACTTATTTTCAACATTGTCCCCAATGTTGTGAGAGGAAAGAAAATAAGACAAAGAGAGTCCTCCTTTATTAGATTTTTTATTTGTAAAATTTTCATATAACCCTGTAATTTTAGAATAACAATAAGAAAATAATTTATAATCAAGCCATTCAAAAGATTTTCTTTTTGTAGTTTTTCAAACTCCAACTTACCATCGTCAGAAAAATTCAACCCCTTAACTGCAAAAACTTGATTAGATCTGTCAGGCAAATTCATAGATTTAAAATTTGAAAAATCAACAGTTTCATCAAGCACACTTTTGGTCAGTTTGCCTGCTTGAACATCAATAGGGGTTGTGGGCAATTCTTTTTGTAACACTACACTTACAGGCACACAACTTTTGAGCCTATTTGGAAATGGAATTGGGGGCACATAAGACTCAGGTGCTACATAGGGCTCCTCCTCCTCCTCAAAATCTTCATTTTGTACAGGGTTAGTGTTTTCAAAACTTTCATCAACAGGGACTGGGGACACATAAAGCTTGGGAGGAACATAACGATTATCAGATTTATGCAATTGAGGCTCATCATTTTCTACAATAATATCATCAACAACATTATGCAATTTTTCAATTATTTCAGTTTGTTCAGAAGTGATAATATCTTTTAACTTGTTTTTTTCATCATTCAGAGCATCCTCAGGTTGACTAGGTAACTTACCTGGCACATGCCCTTGCACAAATTTAGCAATTTGCTCTAAATGTTCTTCTATTCTTCTAAAGCAAGCCTCATTTTCTTCAAATCGTTGTTCATCTGTTTCTTCGGGCTCATAAGCTTCTTGTTGCATCTGCAACCATTGATCATGTTCTTCTTTTTGCTTTTGGAACCATTGATCATGTTCTTCTTGTTGTTTTTGAAACCGTAGATCATTTGCTTCTTGCCGCCTATTGCAAGCCTGTATATAATCATTCAATGAGTCCTCCAAAGATGGTTTTTCAAGTTGGGATGGAGGTAATTGAAAATCATTTTGATTATTAACAAAATAAAAATTGGAGTAGTTTGGTTGAAAATCATTTTGATTATCAACCCAAGAGGGTGGAGGAAGTGCATCTATGGTTGTAGTTGTTTCTTGCGGTTCAAAAATTGGGTTTTCAAAAAGTAATATTTCTTGCGGTTCAAAAATTGGATTTTCAAAAAGTAATATTTCTTTCTTTTTCCTATCAATATGGTCGTCTAAAGGCAACAACTTAGGATAGAAAGAACGACGACCCTCCATCAAATAAATAAACAAAATAACAAAAATAAATAAATAAAGAAGTAAATAAAATCAAACAAGTAGGGCTGTGCAGTCGGACGGATCGGACGGATCGGATTGCGGACTGAGACCCCCGGTCGGATATCGGATTTCAATTTTGACCACCCTAACCGTTTTTTTTTGTTGACTAATCCGATCGGTTATTTTTTTATTTTCGGATTGGATCGGATCGGTCGGATATCCGTGTTGTAATTCGGTTTTATCAGAATGTAAAAAACTTAAAATCAAATATTCTATTCATGGATGATGGAACACCTAAGTACCTAACTAATGAACTACTTAAGTACCAAAAGCCACTAACTATTAATTACTAACTACTTAACAGCAAAAATAAGTAAATAACATAAGTAAACTTATAAAAGTGTAAACATATAATCAGCAAAATACAAATTAGCTTACATATAATCAGCAGATTAGCTTACAAGTTACAACTTACAAGTTACAAAATTAAAACTTGTAATGAGAATTTTAATTGTTCATAGCAACAGCATCACTGCATCAGTCTCCAATCAGCACATCAGCATTCTTCTATGTCTATTCTTCTTCAAAAGAAAGCCAGATATCCAAAACTCCAAAAGCAATATATGAATATATGATTAATATAATATAGAGTACTCTATGTCTATTCTTCTTCCTGATAAGTGAACACATAAAAACACAATAAGTTCAAAACATTTGTAGTTAGTTAGAATTGACACAATCACACAAACTGAAACTGTAAAAGACTAAAAGAGTGCTCAGATAGCTTTTTTTTCCATATCAAGTTAAGATTGGGGGCACACTACTCAATGAGTATGGCATAAACACCACACTTCAAAGGCAACATACCAAACCCAATTCTATATATTCAGAGAACATGGTGGAAGCATCATCATAGCAGAATAATACTTATACTGTAACAACTAATGAATTATATTTAAATAGCAAAGACTCAAAGAGTGCTCAGATACTTTTTGTTTCCATATCAATTTAGGATTGGGGGAACACTACTCAATGAGTATGGCATACACCACACTTCATAGGCAACATACCAAACCCAATTCTATATATTCAGAGAACATGGTGGAAGCATCATCATAGCACAATAATGAACATTTATACAGGTATAACTTATAAGTATAGTGAGTCAGAAGTCAGAAGTCACATTTAGACATTTAGTCAGTACTTATACTGATACCTGAGCTCAATGGCAGCAACATTTAAAATGTTACCTAGCCATGAGCACTTTCCAGTTTCCAGTTCCAACTTCCCAGCCTCACGAGGGACATTGATTTGAATCATTGATACACATACATGATACACTGATACAGAGGCATAAATTTATCATGAAATCAAATAAGTAAATAAGTAATCACAAATTCAGATTTCAAAATAAATTAATGGAAACTATAAACATACAACAATTGTAGGCATTCCAGTTCCAGTGCTGGATGTGCAGCACAACTCTGCAGTACAAAAACAAAATGGAAATTAAAACTTAAACAATTAAACAGATCATTGCTGGAAGTTAGAAGTATATACCTTTCTCAATCCTTTCAACATCTTCAATATTTTCTTCAATTGAGATTGGTTGGTTGCTTAACCTTAGCCAATCCTGTGCACACACCAATGCCTCAACAATTCTAGGAGTTAGGGAACTCCTAAAGGCATCAAGCACCCTTCCACTTGTACTGAATGCTGATTCTGAAGCAACAGTTGATATTGGAACAGCTAGAATATCCCTTGCCATTTTAGATAAGACAGGGAACCTTTCAGATTGTTGCTTCCACCATCTTAGAAGGTCAAATGAATCATCCTCATCCACAATAACCTCAGAGAGATACACTTCCAACTCAGTTTTTTTCCTAGACAAATCCCCACTCACCAATTTTTGCTTCTTAATCTGAGATTTCAGTAATGATTGAGGTCTCCCAACAGAAACTGAATCAGATATTGTTATTGAGGGAGAACATTTTTCAGATTGTTCAACAGACTGGACAGGGAAGCATGCAACATAATCTTCAAACAACTCCTTAAGGCCAACAATCACCTTATCAAACATTATTTACCCTTGTCCTCACCATATAACTGGTTAAACTGAATGGGCATATACTCAATTTTGTCCCTGGTGTCTAAGATATTTGCATAGAATATCAAAAAATTCATTTTTTCAGGCTCACCCCAATACTTATCAAATTTTGCCCTCATATTTTTACCCATCAGTTTAACACTATCTTCTGTAGCTTCCTCCATATTTTTCAACAAGCAAGACAAATCAGAAATCTCAGAGAAGAAGGTATTAGAAGTCACATACAATGATCCAGAAATCCTAACAGTCATTTCATAAAAAGATTTCAGAATCATAACCAAAGATTGAATGGATTCCCAATCTAAGAAATCAGGTACACTTCCACCCAAATCAGATTTAAATGAATTGTCATGATCATCATATGCTTCAAATACCTTCTGAAACAGTAATGCAGTATTAAGCATCATATATGTGGAATTCCACCTTGTAGGGACATCTAGACACAGAGAATTCTTAGCTTCCACCCCAATTAGATCAGCTAGTGATTTAAACTTCTGCAACCTAGCAGGTGAGCTCCTCACATACCTAACAGCATCCCTGACTTTCTTAACAGAACTGTCACATTCTTTCAACCCATCCTGTACCACCAAGTTAAGAATGTGAGCAATGCACCTCATGTGCAAATACTTACACCTAACAGCAGTACAACCCCAAGAGCCCAACTTCTTCTTCAAGAATCCTAGGGCAGTATCGTTGCTGGAAGCATTATCTACTGTCACACTAAACACTGATTTTAGACCCCAGTCCAAAAGGCAACTCTCTAAAGCCTTTGCAATACTTTCCCCCTTGTGGGAATATATAGGAACAAATGAAATAATCTTCTTTTGCAGCTTCCACTCACTATCAATGAAATGTGCAGTTATGCACATGTAGTTTATTCTCTGGACTGAGGTCCAAGTATCAGTTGTGATACTTACCCTCTGACTGCTAGTCCTAAAAAACTTCTTCAAGTTGACCCTCTCATCAGAAAATATCTTGAAAATGTCCCTACTGATAGTCCATCTTGAAGGGATTTTAAACCTAGGACAGCAAACTAAAACAAACTTTCTAAAACCCTGTCCCTCAACAATCCTAAAAGGAAGTTCATCTAAAATAATCATCTCAGCTAAGGCTCTCCTTATCAAGTCTTGATCAAACACCCAAGTACCCAACACCCCTTCAGTTCCTTCACTACTTTGAGTTCCATCAGAAGAAGGTGCAGGTTGGAATGTGAGTAGGGACTGCTTTGTCTCCTTAGAGTGAGGATTTTTAAGGCAGTTTACCACATGAAGTCTGAGAGAAGAAGTCCCATGTTTCTTGGTCTCACAGCAATACACTTTTGCACAATATATACATTTTCCTTTGATGACAATGCCCTCACTGTCTTTGATCTTTTCAAAGTGATCCCAACATGGAGCCCTGGATTCAACATCTTTCCTTTTCTTTGGAACAGGTGGAGGCAAAGGCTGCTGAGACTGAGGAGTAACAGTCTCTACAGCAGGTGCTTCCAACTCAGGTTGGGTTCCAGATACACCAGTAACACCACTAACACTTTCCATCTAAAAAGGGGAAAGTATCAGTGACACAGAATGGGAAATCACTCATTGAAAATCATCAACAGATAATGGGCTTTGTCACATACACACATGTATCAATTAAAGTGTTAAACAAGCAGAATTCAGTGAATTGAACATTTCATCATGTATGCAGAATTGCACATAAATGATTTAAGGGTCACATATCCATAAACTTACAACTTACAACTTACAAATTACAATTTACAATGAAATCCATAATCAGGCATTCAAGCTAAGTAGGTGTATGCTACTTTATATGCTCATCATTTATATGGATTTCAGTCACACACTCCCACATTTATATGGATTTCAGTCACACATGAGTACAAGACACACTCCCACATTTATATGGCTTCCACACACATACCATCATGCTTAACATTTATATGGATTTCAGTATTTAACACACAGTGGCAAGGGGCTAGGGTAGTATGGCTTCCACCACAGATTAGGTTACAAATTAGAAACCCTAATCAAACAATTCACAAATTCACACTCAAAGAACTACTGACATGCAATCCGGAACTTCTCAACGGATTTACAAGTATCATAGTCCAGTGAGTCCACAGATTAGGTTACAAATTAGAAACCCTAATCAAACAATTCACAAATTCACACTCAAAGAACTACTGACATGCAATCCGGAACTTCTCAACGGATTTACAAGTATCATAGTCCAGTGAGTCCACATATTTACGTTACAAATTAGAAACCCTAATCACACAATTCACAAATTCAAACTCAAAGGACTAGTGACATGCAATCCGGAACTTCTCAACGGATTTACAAGTATCACAGTCCACATAATCATAAAAATTAGAAACCCTAATCAATAAGACAAATACACAATAATCTATAACGAAAATGTAAATAGGGTTTAGTAATTACTTCGTTTCTTAGATTTAATCCCTCAAGAACAAAGGGCTTCGAATCCACTATTCCACCGTTCAACAGTTCCACCAGACTCCGGTGACCGGACTAGGGTCTAGGGCTTCCACCGTTCCACCACTCCGCCAGTCGCTACTCCGAGTCTCCGAATAGGGCTTCCACCAGACTAACAAACAGAGACTAAGACTCTCAGAGTCTTAGAGAGTAAGACACTAAGAGTCTAAGACTCAAAGTCTCAAAGACCAGAGCGAAAGAGAGAACGGGAGATGAGAGATGAGAGATGAGAGATGAGAGATTGAGAGAAGTCTAGAAGAGTCAAGACTCAAGAGTGAACTGAGAGCTCGGCTGCGCTCAATGAAATGAGTAATATATATACATACACCAAACGACATCGTATTATATAGCGGAAAAAAACCCTAGGGTTTTATCGGGTAATCGGACGGGTTCGGGTGGCGTTTACTGCCTCCCACCCGAACCCCTTGCATCCGTCTAATAGCGTAGCGTCGGATCGGGTTGGGTATTCGGATACGGTTCGCTCCACGGACTCGCCCGTCGGGTTTCGGGTCGGTCGGGTGGGTCGGATTTTTCGGGTTTTGCACACCCCTACAAACAAGTAAAGAAATAAATAAACAGGATAATCAATAAAGAGTAAAAGGAAAATGGAGAATATTAAACAGTTATTAAGAACTTCTTTTGTTTTTAAGGTAATATTAAGAAAAAGGGAAAACACAAACTTGAGTAGGATCAACTCAAATGCAAATTATTTGGAATTCGGGAAGTGGAAGAATTGAATTGGAAGGAAGGAAGAAAAAAAATAGCAAATGAAAGTAAGGGAAAAGAAATTAAGATAGGGAAAAATAAACAACGGGAATAGGGAAAGAAAAAACAAATAGTAAGCAATTTTTAAATGGACTAATGACTTGAATAAATAGCAATATTAAAAAGGTTAATCAAACGACAATAATAATAAAGTGATAGAATTAAAGAATCAAGCAGTTAAAGGAATGGGGAAAATAAAGAGAATAGTGGAAGTAAAAACAAGTATAAAGCAATTTGTAAATGGACGAATGAATTAAATAAAATCCAAGATTAAAAATGAAAGAGAAGACAATAATGAAGGGATAGGAAAAAAAATAAAAAAAAAATCAAGCAGAAATTAAATTGCAAAATAAACAAGTTCCCGGCAACGGCGCCAAAATTGATGGACAATTTAGTTAGTCCTCGCAAGTGCACGAGTCAATTGTAGTTTAGCGTGCAAAGGCAAGGGTCGAACTCACAGGGAATTGATACGATGCAATTTAATTACTTAAAAGAGTGGTACGAGAATAAAGTTTGAATTGCAGTGAAATTAAATCAAATTAGAACAACTTAAAGAAAATATACTAATCAAAAGTCAAGGAAACAGAATTGATAATCAAAATGAATTAACTAAATGAAATTACAAGGCAGGAAAAGTACGGAATAAAATAGAAGACTAGGAACATGAATCAATTAGCAAATCATTATCAAGAGTTTAAAAACAATTATCTCCTTAAGTAATTTCGTTAATAATTAACACTGAAGAGAGTAATCATGAGCAACTCATATTTAATTGCAAAACAATTCAAAATAGGCAAAACTCACAAGATTGAAAGTGAAGATTTGCTAGCAAAGAGCAAATGTAATTAAACTTACTAGCAATTGGATACTAAAATCAATTAGCAAATGTAATAAATCTCAGGAAAAACAACCATTAAAAGCAATTCTATAAAGCTAAGCAATTTGTCACTTTGCTCAATTAATGTCCACGTAGCAATGCACTTTTCAAAAGGAAATTGAATACAAAATGGGAATTGAATAATTAATAAAAGCACTGCAATTTGAAGAAAAGAGAAACCATGAAGAATGAGAATTGCTGCCGCACGTGGAATTCCGCCGAAGCCGAAACTGTTGCGCCGAACAAAGCTGCTAACTGAAATTGAATCTGATTGTCGCCTCCGGAACTGATCCGGAGTGAAATTGATGATCTTGCTTCTCCATTGTTTCCGCCTTTTATACTGCTCTAGCTCCAACCGTAACTCCATGATTCAGATAGAGAATAGCCGCAGAAAATTCTTGAAGCAAGGATTGCCGTCGAAAATCTTCCCGCTATTTAATCGGATCACCAGAGGACTTCATCTGCGGAATACTGATTCGTTGAGCTCTGCGCCTTTCTTCTCGTAAGTAATTTTGACTTTCTGAAATCTATTAAATAATAATAATAATAATAATAATAATAATAATAATAATAATAATAATAATAATAATAATAATAATAATAATAATAATAATAATAATAATAATAAAGTTATTAGAGACCATATATAACTAATCTACATTTATTAAACTCCTACTGAACATGTACTACTAAAATTATAATTATTATTAAATCAGGATCAACTAATTATTGGACTAATAGAATTCAAATAATAAAATAAATTCAATAAAAACAACCTAAAAATGAATAATATTAACAAAGTTATCTAATCAAAATAATAAATAAAACTATATATAAATTAATCAATTATTGTAAATTAACTATAAAAATATCATTAAAAATAACACTAAAAATAATGTTTATCAGGTGGGGATGTTTCTGCTTTTGTTATGGCTTGCTTGAATTCTCGCAGCTTCCCTCCATGTTTGAATGATACAGACGTCATGTTGATCCCTAAAAAGAAGTCCCATGAGTTTGTAACTAACTTGTGACCTATAACTTTAAGTAACATGGTGTATAAAGTTGTGGCTAAGGTAATAGCAAACAGAATGAAACTGGTAATAATGGAAAGCATTATTTTGGACTCCCAGAGTGCTTTTATCCCTGATAGGCTTATTACGGATAATATTTTGATTGCTGCAGAGGTTGGTCATTTCTTGAACAGGAAGCAGTGTGGGGAGGTTGGTTGGGGTACCTTAAAGCTAGATATGGCTAAAGCATATGATCGTATGGAGTGTCCCTTCCTACGTAGGATGCTTGTATCTCTGGAGTTTGATGGTAGGTAGGTGGATTTAATCATGCACTGTGTGACTACTATTTCTTATAGCTTCCTAATTAATGGTTCACATACCAGATCCGTGATCCCAACTCGGGGCTTACGCCAGGGGGATCCATTATCCCCTTACCTATTTATTATTTGTGCAGAGGGGCTATCGTTATTATTGCAGTAAGCCTAGAGTAATGGCCTCATTCATGGCTGTAGAGTGGCTAGAGGTCCCCCCCCCCCCCCCCTATTTCTCACTTATTTTTTGCTGATGATAGTCTACTTTTCTTTAAGGTCAATGTTCAGGAAGCTATGGAAGTCAAGCGATGTTTATCTGTGTATGAGAGCTTGTCTCGCAGGGGGTCAATTTTCACAAATCCAGTATTTGTTTCAGCAAGAATACTCGCGAGGTGGTTAGGGAGGATGTGGCGCAGGTGTTGGGGGTGGCTAGGGCTCCTAACTTTGGAAGGTACTTGGGCTTCCCTTCTTTTCTGGGAAGAAACAAGAAGGCTGCCTTTGCCTACATTGAAGATAAAATAACACAGAGGATTGGTTCATGGAATAAGAAGCTCTTATCGCAGGCCAGTAAGGAAATTCTGTTGAAAAGTGTAGCTCAGTCTATGCCTACCTTTTCAATGAGTGTTTTCTTGTTCCTTTTGTCTGTTTGCACATCTATTGAGCGTACTATGAATCGTTATTGGTGGGGCACTGGAAATGATTGTGGTATACATTGGAAGGCTTGGGACAGGTTATGTGTGCCTAAGAAGTTTGGGGGGCTGGGCTTTAAGGTGTTTCGTGCGTTTAGTCTGGCTATGCTAGGGAAAGATGCCTGGCGTTTCCTTACCAAACCTGACTCGTTGGTAGCACGTGTTTACAAAGATAGATATTTTCCTAAAGGTTCTTTCTTTGAAGCATGTTTAGGGAATAACCCCAACTTTTGTTGGCGTAGCATTATGGCTGCTCATGGACTGATTTGTAGTGGTGTCAGACGCAGAATTGGGAATGGGAATTCGACTCAAATTTGGGGCCATAATGACCCTGGGACCCTGCGGTCCAGACGGAGATGCCTCCACAACTAGATGGCTCTACTGTGGT